GGGAGAGTGTCAGTTGGACCAACAGGCAGGAAAGAGGAGATGATGAGTTTAAGGCACAGTCAAAACTCAGTATTAGTTTGGGGTTCAAACAACATGAAAACTAACTTTAACTCGAGCTGAGATGGCCTTAATGTTAGTGGCACTTAGACTAAATGATCAGCTGGAAAATGGTGTGAACAGTTAAAGACGATGCGACATGTCGATTAGTAAGCTTTTGATTGATGGTAGTGTGAGCTAACCATGTCCTCAGCCCGGTTCTCCACTTAACACGTGGATACCATAAAGAAGCATTAAAGATGGTGTCTGAGATTTTAAAAACAAAATTGTTGATATTTGACTACTCAGCACAGTCTGACAGCATGTGCCAGATTCACTGTCCCACTTGCTCCCACTACTCCCTTTTTACCCCATTTTCTCTCCCCTTCCATTTTCCCCGGGCCTGTGTACCAGCATGAACATGCATGAGTGCTCATGTGCACAGTGCTGCGTAGAATGGTCCGAGCCACACTGTTTGTTTTCCATGTAGAGAGCAGCCGCTGTGTATGAACCATGTCTTGTTGCAGGACCCTCACAGAGCAAACAGCTGGTGGACTGTGACAAAATATCTGCTAAATCTGACAAGTCTCAAAACAAATATATTTCTTGAACTAAACCTTTGAATTATTCATTACTACATTTTGACATATGACTCAGCATATCTCGTGATCCAATAATCACTGACTGACATCGGACTTTAAAGTAAAATGTCTGATTATGCAGTGTTTCCTTGTTCACACTTTTCTTTACATTCTTGTGTACCAGATGGCCATTTATACATATCTCTTCTGCCTTTTTTTTTCATATTGATAAGAGACAGAACTACATTACAAACTACTGCATTGCTCTTCATGTGCACACGCACTATGACATTGGCACTTAAATTAAGTTTCAAGCCAAACACTGAGTGTCAAAGCAAGCTGAAGTGTTTCTCAGTTTATTTTAATAACATCTGTTCAGTATGAAAATCAATGTTCAAAAAAAGGTCTTAAAAAGTGGTTTTAGTTTGTTGGATCAGCGTCAAGTTAAATGATAATCACCCCTGGTCAGAGGTTGCTGTAGTTTCTTAATTTATGGGAGATTAAATCCTTTGGTAGTAAATAATAGCAATAGCATCCAACTGCTACACTTTGTTTTGATTCAAATGATTTGATAGTGTTGATCAACATAGAATACCAATAAAAATATGCAAAAGTCTAAAACACTACCTTATGTTTTAGTAAATGATACAGTAATGAGCCAAAACATCGTAGCCTTTGGCCTCACACAACTTCTGAATGGATTCTTGGTATTACACACCCAGACTTCTTTCACGTTGTGAGACCGTAGGAGTCCTGACAAGGAGAAACCCACCAGCCTTGATTTGTCAGAGAATCTCAGACTCAATTGTGTGGTCATAAGCATTTGACTCTTGTCATCGAGGTTCACATGCATCCAACATTCTTTACAAACAAGAGATGCTGTTGTTCTGTAACTTAGTGTTTAACCCATTATGGATCTTGAAATTGTTGTTAATCAATATTATTGGCCTCATTTTTGAGAGCTTATAATGTTTTCGATCGCAATTGTCAATGTTAAAAATGAAATGAGAACACGCGAGTGTGGTCCTGTAATCAACAGCTTAAACAAGTCATGTATTTTTGGCTCATTTATTTATTTACTTGATTTTACTGCTTGTACTTATAGTAATAATCTATTTAGCTGCACTGTCCTTGTATTGTACAGAGGAAGATTTGCCTTACTAAAAACATTTGGTGTTAGACACCTACATTTTAAAATTCACACATTATATGCACATTTCTTAAAATACTAAGCAAATTATACATTTCTATGGACAAATCAGTAGCCCTTATAGAGTATGGTTTGAAGCTTAAAGATCTAAACAAACACAGGCACATTATTGACTCAGAGAGATGCCAAATTAATCTGGTGAAAAGTCAATGGTTGAGCACGTGGCAGAGGTGAGTGCTGTTGCTGCTGCACAGTCACTGGTTCATGTCTGTAGCCTGTGAATGCTGTGAATTAGAATTAGATTTTTTATTTTTTTACAAAATAATATTGCAACGATTCTTCTTGATTTTTCAAATATTTATTAACGGCCCTTAAAATATTTCTTTTGTTCCCCTGCGTGATTTTGTAAATGCACCATTTTTTGTTCTTAAAAGAGGTTGGGATGTTTAAATTGCAAAAGTAAAATTAGATGCCGCAGTTTGACCATGCTAGCTTTAAGAGTTGAGATTGAGCTAGAATGAATCAAAACAAAATTTAAAGAAACAGATTCAACCCACAGTACAACTACAGGACAGTGTTAGCAAATGATCATCTGGTTTGAATGTCTTCAGTGTTTCAAGTACACTGGAAAACTTTGCTCCGCTGATTGTCTGGATTCCTTTAAATCTTTAACCTGGAAGTTTATTTATTCATGTTGAAGGTTGGGGTGGGGCATAGATGAAATGCCGTAAATGTAAAGCAGGGTTTTTGTTTGTTTGTTTGTTTTTACATTTTTGTTGTGGTTGTATTTTTTTTTATTGTTGACTGTTTCATGAACAATAAGCTTCTATTTACAGGTCACACATGTACTTAAACTGTAATATCTTTGCCTAAATGCTGCAAGTATGTTTAGAATTTTGTGCATTACTACTGGTTTTCATTTTGTAAAGATTTAGTTGTTGCCTTAAAGGTTATAGAGGCAAAACTATCCAGCAGGAGAACCAAGGCTTTTGACTGGACGTTGCACTTCAGCTGTAAGAAAGTACATTCTGAAATGCAACATGACACCATTCTGACCGTCACTGTATTTGTGAGGTAAAGCTGCAAGGAGAGACACACAGTCTGACTTAATTTCATACATTTTGTTTGATTATTTACAAACCTTCCATTTGTGACAAATAGCATGTATTCAGTGTTCAATATAAAGAAATAAAAATGTGCAAAAATATTTTAATGATCATGATAATGACGTCCTATTTTTTATTAAAGTGCATATTTACTTGCAGTTAACCAAATGCATTTCTGCTATTAAACGTAGCAAAACCAAGACAGTTACACTGATTTTATTAAATATCAAAATGAAGCATCAAGTCACTTTGGAGCAAAAATAGTCAAATCTGATGAAAATGTAATGTGGGAACATTCTTTTACTACTATTTTTGCGCTACTGTGCACCATATGGGCTTTGTTCAAACATTATAGCTAAATGCTATATCCAGCCATCCATTTATTATCTACACACCGCTTAGTCCTCACTCGGGTCACGGGGGGCGGAGCCTATCCCAGCCGACTCAGGGCAGAAGGCAGGGGACAGATCTGGACAGATCGACAAACAAAACAGGTTTTTTTACATTCCTTTTTCTCTTGCTGTTTAAAATAAAACGCCTGACATTTGTTTTATTACATCACTGAAGTGAAAAATGTAATACAGTGAAGCTCGTTATTGAATATTTTTCAGAAATCTAAAACTAAGAAATTAGGGTCCAACATTAACACTTCATATGTCTCATGTGGGATGGAGGTAAAAACGCAAACAAGAATGTACATGTATGTGGCAAATTTCTCAGAGTTCCCTGGCCTTCTTTGAATTTATATATAACAGCAACTACATCAGAGTCTCACAGTATTAGGTAGCGTGGAGCATCTGTGACACCAGAACAATTTTAAATTAAAAGCAATGATAAATAGAATATAAAGGAACATAATACTACCTGCAGACTCTTCTAACACTGGCTGATGATTAAAAAACAGTGGCTTACACTCGTATGTTGCCATATTAATGTCATCAGACCACCTCAAATCAACAAACTGCTCTATTTTGAGTTGTTACTTAAATAACTGCATTGCATTTGTTCAAATTAATGTTTGAGTTGCCAACTTTCAAACAACTTTAGATGCAGTGCTAATAGTTATTTGTGTAAACTTTAACTGAGGCACTGGGGATATGGGAGGGGATTTTGAAGCTAGTATTTTGGAGTTGAGCGCCTCACTTTACAATTAGAGTGCCTGTTTAATGCAGTCAGTTTATGGGATGCATTGATTGGAGGCCGCTTGAACCTCAGATTCAGATTTTTAAACCTCTACACTGATTATTCAGCGTACCTCGTCTTATGGGTAAGAGCTCTAAACACATGTATACAGTTTCTGTGATGTGGATTTGAACTTTTTACAGTTGTGGCATCATTATATTTGTAGATTTTGGTGATGCATTTTCTACACATCATTTACCTGCAATATGACAGTTATATGCAGATTCAGCTATTTTCATTTTCTGGTTTTACCTTTAAATATTTAAATGACCTGTATTTTACTTTGCAATTTAGGTTTTTTGTATGTATTGTGCGACATATCTTTAATTATTTGATATGAAAACAATTTTGAAGTAAAAAAAACAAACAACATTTTGTCGAGGCAGTTTTGTCAAAAAAATAAACCAAAAGCATGACAGTTACACAGTGTGGTGTTGATGTGTGGATTTTGATAAAATATCTGTTGGCAAATTGTTTGCTGTTTTGTTAAGAATCATTTAATTTGAATATAATAGAAAATGTCATGGTTTTTCATGGAATTACCGTAGAAATGTCTTTGCACACATAACACAGATTCTAATCAAGTGCATATTACAGAAGCAAACAGGTCCTCTGAGGCGTATGCTCCGTAATAATCATGTTGATTCAGCACAGTCCAAAAGATTCAGCCAACACACTGAAAATGTCCACATTTTTAAGAACATAAAGTTCCTTCTTTTTAGTACCAACATGTAGACATTGAAGGTGCTTCCAATCCAAAACACACTGGGCTTCGGCACGATGAGTCCACTCCTCATCATGGCTGACTGACTGGTTTTGGCCCCATGTGACTTGAGCAGTGGATCAATGTTGATGGCTGGATCATTGATACAGTTTCAGCCCTGTTTGTGACCCAGCTAGGCCGTGGAACACAACTGCTACTGCCACGATGTCAGCCTTTTCTCTTCACTTCTTCATGATAGAGGAGATATCCAGAAACATACTCTAGAAAACACAAAGAGACAGCTTTGATTGATACATTTATCACATTTGGAAAGAAATAAACAAAAACATTGTTGTAGTGGTGACTGTGTATGAATTTGTCACGCCATAGTTGATGAGGAAGCATTGCAATGATTTTTTAAAATATAAAACTAAATATGATATGTGTGAGGCCATTGGGTGTCATGAGAAAGAAGAGCAGAAGTTAAAACAGCGGTAGGTGCAGATTAGCTAATTTAAGAACGGAACATAATATCAAAGTATTTTCAGTCGTCCAAATGGGTGTTAAGGACAGTGTTGTGTAATAGATGATTCCAGGCCTGTGTGCTGTTTATATTTCTAAGTTCATAATTAACAATTTATGCACACACATGATTAATTTGAGTATATGATTTTTCTGTAGCTATCAGTATTTTTGAAATATTAGTATTGTCTATAATATTTAGAATTATGCATTTTGTCTGTTCTTTTTAAATGATTCAAAATTGTGTTCAAGTGTCTTATCTTCACAAACTTAAAGTAATAAATAATAACTTTCTTTTATCTACAAATGTAGACTGTGTCTTTTAATGGACATGTTTTAATGTCTGTCTTATCGTAAAAACATGTAATTGAAGTACGAGGTGTCAGAAAAGTTCCAGGACTGGTGTCACAAAAGATGTATTTCAAACCCAAACTACAGGAGTTTTCCCCTTCAGACGATCAACCAGCACGTCTACGAAAAGATCCTGCAGCGAGAAGAGGCGAGCGTCGTGGCTGCTTGACCATGACAACCTGCTCACAGCGCCCTGAGCATCTGACAGTTCCTGGCTGAGAAGAACATCTCCGTGCTGGAGCAACCTCCCTACTCACCCCACCTGGCTCCGTGGGATTGTTTCCTCTTCCCCAAGCTCAACAGGGGTCATCAAGGGGACCCGTTTTGAAGACGTGGACAACATCAGATGGCTGTGACGGCGGAGCTGCAGTGGATTCCATGCCGTCATGGAATCCACTGCAGCTCCGTAGCAGAGAAGGTTGGGAAAGTACGCTAGCCTCCAGGGGGATTACTTCGAAGGGGAAAACTCGTAGTTTGTAGTTTGGATTTGAAATCTATCTTTTGTGACACCAGTCCTGGAACTTTTCTGACACACCTCATATATTTGTGAAAAAGTCAGCTCAGTGCCTTTGCTCTGTCTGTAATACCAACCCATGCCTTAATATTGTTGCTGCTGTTTTGCTTTTCAAATGGCCTCATTTGTTTTACTTTTACTGGGAACACTGACAGGACACAGGCTGCCACTTTGACAGTACTGAGCTTCAACCAGATCAACAGAACAGCTTCATTTCTTCATCTTTCTCTTTTCAAAACTTCAGCCCTTCTCTTCTTACTTCTTGAAGTCAGTCCTTTTTGCAATTATTCCATTCTATTGAGTGTTTTGGCCAAATTTTGTGGTTAATTTAGTTGACAAAGTACTTTCGTAATTCTATCAGGAGGGAAGCATCGGGCCTTAATAACTAAGTAATTATGTCTTATACTGTATGTATAAAACAACTATGCTGTCAAGACCAAAGACAGAAATGGAGAATAAGCTGCTTTGTGATTAACAGGTACAGCATGTGTTACAGAACTTTGCCTCTAAACACTAAATGTCTGAGGCTTATGTGTGATATGTTATGAGACAATCTTTGCTCTTTACTTGCCATAGACATTCTTCGCCCTCCGGCAGGCGGCATCATGGGCATGTCTCCCTGAAGGGAGCCCAATTCATCCGACTCCTCTGAGGTATGTAAGGAGGGACTTGTGGAGCCACTCATGGAGGACAAGCTTTCAGATGGTGGCCTGATCATGAAGCTGGTCTTCCTGGGGTTGGGTATCAGGAGCTCGCTCCCCATCGACTCCCTTCTGTCATCTTCATTGAGGTGTCTGATAGCACTGGGTCTTAAGGTGCTACTGGACAGCAGAACTTCCAAATGGCTCGGGTGTTCTATCTCATGGGTGTTCTCATGGCTTGTTGTGTTCCCTTCCACAGTGGGCATGACAGAAGTCCAGGCTGGATGGTGGCCCATCATGGTTGCATGTACCTCTGAACTGTCATTACTTTGGGGGATTTGGATTGTGCAGTTCTGGCCAGACCTGGGTGGCATCTTAGGTTGGGGACAAATATAGCTGGTCTGACTGTGTCCTAGATGAGCCAGGCTGTTGTGTCTTAGTGCTTCCTGGCTGGCTTTGAGCCCACTGTTGTAATGAGGAGGCTTCATGTCAGCCTCTGGAATCACTTTGAAGGTCTGAGTCAAAGGCCCATTTTGAGGTGATATATTGCTCATTACACAGAGGTGTGGTAAAGATGCCTTCTTCTTGGACTTGTAAATCAAACTGTCATCTTCCATGTACCTCTCTCCACTCAGTGCATGCTTGATTTTCCTGATGCCTAAGTGGGATATTTCCAGAATATTTAGGAAAAGTGACACACCAGCAATGGCAATCATGAAGACCATGAAGATGGTCTTCTCTGTGGGCCTGGAGATGTAACAGTCTACGCTGTTGGGGCAAGGCAGTCTCTCACACTTATAGAGTGGCTCCAGTTGGACACCATAGAGTATATACTGGCCCAGGATGAAGCAGACCTCCACCACAGAGCGTGTAAGGATATGGATGATATAAGTTCTCAATAGAGAACCTCTGAGAGGAGCCTTCTTCACCTTCCTCTGCTCGTCCAGCCTCCTCAGTTCCTTCTCCATGCGTTTATGTTCATCCATCGCCAACTCTGCCTCATCCAGATCCTCCTTCAGCTGGGCCCGTCGGCGGTGCCGTTCCTTCTCCAGTGCACGAATGCAGTAGAGAGCGTGACCCATGTAGACCAAGGAGGGTGCAGACACAAAGATGACCTGAAGGACCCAGAAGCGAATGAGGGAGATAGGGAATGCACGGTCATAGCAGACTGCTTTGCAGCCTGGTTGGTCAGTGTTGCAGACAAACTCAGACTGCTCATCATCCCATACATCCTCAGCAGCTGCTCCCAGAATCAGCATTCGAAAGATGAAGAGTATGGTAAGCCAGATTTTGCCCACAATGGTGGAGTGAATGTGGACTTCTTCTAGGATGCTGCCCAGCAGGTTCCAGTCACCCATAGTCGGCTTCTTACCACTTCAGTGCCACATATTCAAACTGTGGAGACACAGTGTGCAAAGTACAATTCATTATTCTCACAAAGCCGGAGTCTAGATACAAGTGATTACAACTTAGGCTTTACTTTTTAAAATTGCACAAATGGTTTATGTTGGTTATGATAACACTGCAGTGAAGAAAGGTACTGATGTTTCTGAAAAATGCTGTAAATTACTCCAAAGAGGCAAAACATACAAGCAATGATATGATCAGACAGGTTGCAAACGAGGTAACAGTTGAGCATATTAGCAAGTGCTTTCTTGGTAAAACTATTAACTACTGTAAGCTGAATCATAAAGTTTGGTTTTTCATCTGTCCATTATCTAATCCTCACTAAGGTGGTGGGGGGGCGGAGCCTATCCCAGCTGACTCAGGGTGAAGGCAGGTTCACCTGGACAGGTAACCAGTCTATCACAGGGCTACACTTAGAGACAGACAACCAAGCACACTCACATTCACACCTACGGACAATTTACAATCACCAATTAACCTCAGCATGTTTCTGGACTGTGGGAGGAAGCCGGAGAACCCGGAGAGAACCCACGCTGCACGGGGAGAACATGGAGACTCCACGCACAAAGATCCCGGGTGTCCTCACCGGGACACCAACCGGCGACCTTCTAGCTGTGAGGTGACAGTGCTCACCACTGTGCAGCCCCAAGTTTGTTTTTTGCCCCATTGCAGCTATTTTTGTTTTTTATGTATCACTCTAAGATTCCAGGAATTAATTGAGTTATTATACACTGATGGCATACAACCCATCACATTACATCATAACATCTCATTCATTTGAATACAAGATGCGAAGTGGTGCATGTGTTGAAAAAGTTTTGGCCAATTGACATTGCCATTGAGGATCCTTCTCTGTCAGACCCATGGATTGCCATAGACTGCTGCAAGCTGACTGTCTTCCAGTTGGTTCCCTGCAAACACAAATGGCCTTAAAAGACAGTAATCATATGGCTCTCCTAAACTTTCCAAACGTGGTCAGACTGAGTAATGTAAAACCTAATTTAGTTGAGACTATGACCTTCTCTACATTGATTAAGTGTGGGAGGAAATGCTCTTTGTACGTCTGCATCACATGATGAATGTTAAAGTTGCTCTGATGCATACTATTAAGCCATAGCTTTGGCTTTAATAAAGTGTCTCTGCTCAATCTCAGTGCTGTTTTATGGAGAAACTCAGAGAACAAACGTCCCGTCCCTTGTTGTTTTATAAAGTTCATAGCTCACATAAATATAAAATAAACAATAATGTACTCTTGAGCTTGTCAACAATGAAATAACATCAGCAATCATATATCAACTACATCAATATATCCCAGCTTATCAGAGGGCACTGACATTACATCTGATAAGTTGATACAAGGGAAGAAGTCAGCAGTGGGCCTGGGCTTGCATTACTCACTGGCATTTACCGCCCAGCCAATTTGATCAAGCTACATGTTGTAACGATGAATACGAGAAAGTCATTTATAGGGAAAGAATGAAACAAGATGAATACTTTTCTCTTGTCTGGTGTATGTTGAATTTGTCTTCTGATTAAAATGAACCTGCTGAAACAGTTGTTGTGTTAAATGTCCAGAATTGGTTCCTATAATTTGGTCAGGCAAACTTTTTCCTTTACCCAGCAAACTAACTTTTTTTCAGGTGATCTAACATATACAACAACGGTTAAACACAGTTCTTTAATGTGCTATTTTTAAAAAGCAAGAGGTGACACGCTTCCATCAATCTATTCAGCCCAATTCTTCAGAAACCACAAGGTTGATAGCATGGCTGCTTGCTTCCTGGTGCTAGCACTGTCTCCTGGGCAGCCTAACATGAGTTCACCTGTACCTCTGTTGAATGCTGCTACCAACGATGTGAATTTCTCCACTGTGAGATGAATAAAGGCATATCTTATCTTATCTTATTTATCTGCAATAGAATTTTGTTCATCACAGCCAGGTTTGAAAGTATTTCCCTGCACAATCAAGGCTGGAAAATCAAGGTACTTCTCATCAAACTGGTATGGAAAGATATGGTTTTGATCAAGTGATAAGAAGAGCTGATGCAGAAAACTTGAATTACAAGCTGAGACATCACAACTAGGTCCAGGGAAGGGGAAGGCTCTCCTGTAGGGCTTTCAGGATCTTTGACCACAACTAGATTAAGAAAAGCAACAAACATGAGAAATATAATGACCTCAGTCACATGTGGAATAATGCGCTTGACAGACAGAGCTGGACAATCTTCTGCAGGACGACCAGTATGGAATACTGACAGCAATAGCATTTTTTTCTTCCAGTCTTAGAAATTTGCACCGATCAGGTCATTATGAATTTTGAAACCATGCAATCAATGTGAATCTTTAGACCATGATGAGACCTCTTTTCTACGGCTAAACTCAAGCATTCAAACCTTGTTGTACAAGCCATGAAAATGGTTGTTGCACAGAATAATGTACAGAATTTGCTGTTTCTCAGTTTTGAGCACAGAAGCAAAGTTGAAAGTTATCAACCACCTTTTATGTATTCCACAAATTTACAAGAAATTAAGAAGTGTGTTGTTTTTTCCCGGTTCAATCAGTGGTCAGTTGGATCTTTTTATGCTTTGATTTCCTTTTACAACTAATTTGTGCAGTTATCTGTGAGCTGACCATGGTACTGATGAACAAAGACTGTAATAAGGTGGCTGTGGCTCAGCTGGTGGAGTGAGTTGTCCACTAATTGCGGGGTTGGAGGTTCGATCCCCTGCAGTTCTTGAGACGTATCCTTGGTCAAGACACTGAACCCAAAGTTGCTCCCGATGGTACACAAGCACCTGTCACTGTGTGTGAATGGGAAGCATTGTAAAGTGCTTTGAGCTTTATGGTCCACAACAATTCAATAAAAGCAAGAAGCAGTTTTAGGATACAGTCATTGTCAGTTTTAATGCGCATGGGCTGCAGGGTGGCGCAGTTGGTAGCACTGTTGCCTCGCAGCAAGAAGGTCGCCGGTTGGCGTCCCGGTGGGGGCACCGGAATCTTTCTGCGTGGAGTCTCCATGTTCTCCCCGTGCAGCGTGGGTTCTCTCCGGGTTCTCCGGCTTCCTCCCACAGTCCAGAAACATGCTGAGGTTAATTGGTGATTGTAAATTGTCCGTAGGTGTGAATGTGAGTGTGGCCCTGTGATAGACTGGTTACCTGTCCAGGTGAACCTGCCTTCACCCTGAGTCAGCTGGGATAGACTCCGCCCCCCATGACCCTGGTGAGGATTAAGCGGTGTATAGATAATGGATGGATGGATTTGTTGAGAAGAAAAATCTGCAGTATCAGCATTATTGAAAGTATTGTAATACATACTTAATCAATCAGCTAAGTGAGGGGATAGTTTCAAAGTCAGTGTGACATCCTTAAAAAGAGATTTAAAACAATGCAAACAGCTATGTCAGCTACGTGTTCTAGATAGATAATTCTTTATATGACTAGTTGTGGAGAAATGTGAAACTTTAGTTTTTCCAGTTTTGAAACTGCAGCAACCTTTGACTTCCTAGCAAGTGTTGTGCCTGTCCAAAAAGCTGTAGCAGGGTTCTTCTTGGCTGAAGCAGATAACTGTCAATCATGCATTTTACAGCCCTGTACAAGACCTGTCCTGAGATATAATATTTGACTGGCTCAGACAGCAGGACAGAAGAAGTGTGGTTTGCCATTGTTATGTAACCCTCTTCAAACAAAGCGTGAGTGCATTTAGACATGAACTTTAAGAAAGAAGGATGTCACAGCAGTTGGGAATAAAATGCCATGTCAGCAAATGTAGCAGAAAAATGACGACTTTTAAGTATTATCAGGCGACCCTTTCAATAAAAGTGAATTTGTGACTTTTATTTAAAATAGTACATAGAAACGGTTGGAATTCAACTATGCCCAATCAGACATCCACAACAGCATCACAGCAGTGTGAGGTCCAGAGGCATTTATAAAGAAGATGACTTTACCCAAATGAATGTATTGGATTGCAGCTGTTCCAACCACACTTAGTAGTAACATATACATTCTATTTTATGTTTGATTCTATAAATATTAAATGCACTGCATGTAGTCAGTGTTTTGTGAAAGAATCAGAAATTCAGCTGGAAACACTGCTTTCTTTTTACTATATCTACAACAAATAAACATATGACATTTACAATTACTGCTTAGGCCTTCTGTGAAAACTGTTTTGCATAAGTCATTCCATGACCTATGTTTTGCAGACTTATGGGAGCATGACATAACAACAAGTTACTTCATTTAATGAATCAAGCATTTCAGAAATACTTACATACTACTGGTATGGGTTCCTTCTTGGCCTCTTGATGCACTTCATAATGTTTATATAAGCATCCCAGGAATTAACTGCGTCTATATAGCTACCCCATCGAGGTGTTGGAAGGTCCTTTTGTGTCAATCCCAAACTCTAGTCCATATCCGTCTGCTCTCCTATGTCTTTATCTCACTGTATGACTGCATGCTCTGTGGTTACCAGGGTGTTGGGAGTGCTCTCCCGTGTTACATGCAGGGTTCACAGGATGTGAACATTGATTGCCTCTCGACGGGACAATGCCCCCACCCCACTCCCTTCTCCTACGGCAGCAGTGCCAACTCCAACCAGTGCCATCAATATCGCCCTTTCTGACAGAGAGCAGTGATATTTGTTTATGGTTGGTCATTCACGTAGGCCTGCTTCTGATGCTCTCAACATGAAGATATAGCTGAGCTGACAGGGAAGCTTAGGTACGATTGTGGAATTAATTTCACCTAACTAAAGTGGGCAGACTGCTTCCTATCTGTCGTCATGCACACAGCTTTTAACTTGGGAGGTGTTTGTTGTGAATGTGATTCTATGTACATGTAGGAATGACTGCCTGGCATCCCTCAAATAATCCAAGAAAGACTGCGCAGGGATGCTGTAAGAGTCCTACATAAAAGCAGAGGCATATTCTAGGAGGAATATTTTAGCA